GAAAACATCTATCAATTAGATAATAAACTCAATCAAACATAGAATTTGTCACATACATAAACATTAAACCAAAATCTAAACCTAGGGTTCTTTAACCTAAGAGAAAGAGGTCTAGTTCATAGAGAAGAGGAGAGATATTACAAAATAGCCCAAGATCTTCATCTTCTAGGCTTGATTCTTTGACTCCAAGATCAATCCAAGCCTCCAATTAAGCTCCAAGTTCTCTCAAGATCACTCTACCTCTCTCTAGAACTCCTCTTTGGTGTTTTGGATCGAAAATCTAGAGGAAGAACCAAGTTCTCCTCCAAAAAATAGCTCTCTTCCTCTCTCCAAGCTACTGTCTTTATGTTTTCCCGACAGTGCCAACTTCACGATCACTGTTCACAGGGGTTATAATAGCAAGCAGATGGTGATCTTGGCAAAAAATGCACCATTTTGGGATATTTTCATTGTCACAGGTGATTTTCACAGTCACGGGACCGTGACAATTTTTAGGCCTGCGGGACGCACAATTGCTGCTAGAATTTGCAAGCTTCACGATCTGGGGGTGATTTTCACCCCCTCAGGGCTTGACAAATGAGTGCTGCTAGTGAAGTCTTGCTCTTTACTCCCCGGGTAAAATTTTCACCCCCGCAGGCGTGACAAATGAGTGATGCTCGTGAACATTGCACAACCTCCACTTTTTGGCTCGTTGTGACCTCTGAATGACCCGAAACTCATCCTAGACCTTTTCATATGTACAAGGACCCAAAATGTGACAAAAGAAACACAACCTATCGTAAAATAGGTCGAGGAATGACGATAACCAAGTGAAACAATCAATATATGAGGGTGTAAAACATGTGTAATTAATAATTATGCCCGATTCAATTATGCTTCAGATGATGACCGTGAGACTGTACTTTGTTTCTTGCTTTCCAACTCAACAACCCTGTACCAATTAAGGTATAGTATCTAGTGATAGATTTTTAGTAATCACAGTGACCAATCTTGCATTTGCCCATAAATAAAGGAGTGTAAGTTGTAACGAGTAAAAGGTAAGCAACATAATGCACTGACACGAACAACCCGCCACCTCGATCCGCTCGCAACCCGTAACCCGCTGAACCCCGGCTGACCCTTAACCAGACTGATGCAGTGGCGAATTTGGCGAGCAGGCTCATGGAGCAACGGGCTGGTTCCTTGGGCCACAGGGCTGGATGTGGCGGGATGCAGGCTAGCTGGTCGATGTGACTCGAAGACAGCCCATTCTTGAATGCACGATGGAGTCCTCATCAAAGAGAATATAGTTGGACTTTTTCTATTTGGGCTTTACTATTTGGAGTTTCATGGTTTACGTAGGTTAGACTTGTTGATAGGTTTTGCATAGTACTTACGTGGGGTTTTCCGATGGCAAAAATATCCGTAATCGTGGATATCTACCCGAATTCGATCTAATTGAGTACGGTAAAATCCGAATCCAAGGAACTTTTAGTGGGTACGGGTAAAACCCGAATCCGAATATTGCGGGTAATGGGTGGACATGATTTTCTTATTATCCAACCCGAACCCGCCCGATTATACATATGCATATGTATTTTGTCTACAAATAATCATTATTTTTCTTTAACATATTTTATATTTAGCATACAAATATAATATTTTCATTAAATTTTATTCTTTTAATTAATTTTCTTCATTCTAGTGATTTATCATCGTATGTTTCCTTTGTGTATTGTGAATATATGTGTGAATGTTAACATATTAGTTGGAGTTATAAAGAGAAATTACTATCCATGGATAACCGTGGATATCCGAAACCCGAACGGGTATGGGTATGGTTTGAATTTTATACCTGTTTCTTATGTGGGTATGAATATGGGTAAAACCCGAACTACTTTGGGTATGGTAACGAATATGCATTATCCGCCCCGACCCGACTCATTGTCATCCCTAATTTTCCCATTGTACAAACTATATATTGTGGCCTTAGGGCAACAGGAAAGAGAGTTTTTTAAGGTTTTCCCATTGTACAAACCAGGGAGCAGATCATGTCAGTAACTGATGGGTCAGTAACCAATCAGTAACTCCTTCTCTGATCTCCACGTGTCAGACCCCTTTTTTTATTTAAATTAAATGCGGAAGGGCAGGAAGGTAAAATTGCACTTACTCCTATTTATTGCTGACGCTGACTTTTGACCTGACCACATCAGCGCCTCCTTCTCTCTCTTCGAAAAATCTTTAATTTTTCTTCTCTTAATCCTTAACGGACTATTTCTCACTCGTTTTAAGTCGGAATTTAATTTTTTTTGCACAGTTAGATCAGATTAATTGTGCTCTTCAAAATGATATCCACTTTGATATTTTTTGGACATAAAAATTTTTCCAGTTATTACCAGTCTATACCATATGGTATTTACTACTATTAAATAAGACCATACCACATGGTATGGTAATATCAATATATATATTTCGTTACCACCCAATACCATATGGTATAGTGTGGTAATATCAATATATATTTCGTTACCACCCAATACCATATGGTATAGTGTGGTAATATCACACAATACCATATGGTATAGAGTGGTAATATCAATATATATTTCATTACCACGCAATACCATACATTACCATAGGGTATAGTGTGGTAATATCAATATATATTTCGTTACCACCCAATACCATATGATTGATGACTCGATATTTGCACATGTTTTCCCCTGTGTTTCTTGATCGTTTGAGCTTTAATTATCACATCTTTGGCCTATTTTACGCTAGGTTGTGTTCCTTTGTCATATTTCAGGTCCTAGCACATAAAGTGAAGCATAGGCGCAAAGTTCAAGTCAATCAGAGATCAATTGACGATTCGGGAGAAGAAACTCGGGTATGACCTGAAGAAGAATGGATTTCTACCTCACTTCATGAACAAAGAATCATGCAAGCTTGTTATGAAATGAAAGAGGACGAGACTACGAGCGTCTGGGATCAAACGGCGACTGATTCGGAGTCCGGACGAGGGAGAAACGAAGCATTGAACAGGCTCGGCAGTGAAAACACGGGCAGTAGGCCTTCAGAACACGGCCGTGTTCTGTGACCGTGTTTTTACTGCCGAGAGCTGATTTGAGTTTGGCCAACTCGAGCTGAAAACACGGGCGGGCTGAGGCAAAGCACGGCCGTGCCCTCGACCGTGTTTTGCCCAGAATCGGGTTTTTTAACCCAAATTCGAGCCAAAGGAGAGGGAGAGCTGGGTTTTGGATCCCAAACACCCAAGGGACGAACCAAAGAGAGAGGGGGCGATTTGAGGGCATTCTTGGAGTGAAATTGGAGGATTTCTTCGCCTTGGAAGCTCGAGGAATAAGCCCGGACTTGAAGACTGATCATCTGAAGATTCTTACTGCAGTCTCTCTCTTCTCTATGGAGTAACTTCCCTTCACTTAGGTTTTGAGGAACCCTAGCTATGTCTGTTTGATTGGATGATTGTATGAGTACTTTGACTTGATAATCTTGAGTTCATATTCAATCTATGCATGTTTTCACGATTCAATTCTTCTTTAGTCGAGATTATTGATTCTGCTTTGATCCTATGAGAGCGAATACCTGATTAGGTCAATAGAGCACCATAGATTGATAGTAGTGGATCGATTGCTTTAGTCGAGGGTTGATTCACTGCTTTGTATCGATTGAGAACCTCATTCGATAGAGGGAGTCTAGTTCAGAACGCCTTGATCGATTGTTCTAGAGAAGGATACGTCCCTCTAGGCAATTGACTCAAGAGGGCCTTGTTCCTTTAGTCGAGACTCAAGGTCTAGTCAAGGATTCTCCGCATTGTGAATGAAAGTGAAACATGTTAGAGATCATCAATCGTTAATCTGGCTAGTGGCTAGGGGGAATCATACCTAAGTGAGTTCCCAACCTGTAATTAGATTAACTTTAACTGTAGTTTGCTAGAGTAGTTTTAGTTCTTTCATCTTAATCTGTTTTGCTAGATAATGAACTGAAGCTGAGTAATAGTAACTCTAGAGACCCGTGGATTCGATATTTATTACTTGAGCCACTATACTGCAGTCCCTTTCATTGGTTACACTTGGCCATTGTTAGGAGTTGTGTTTTAGCGAGTCAATGATATAGTGTGGTAATATCAACATATATTTCGTTACCACCCAATACCATATGGTATAGTGTGGTAATATCAATATATATTTGTTATCACACAATACCATATGGTATAGAATGGTAATATCAATATATATTTCGTTATCACGCAACACCATACATTACCATAGGGTATAGTGTGGTAATATCAATATATATTTCGTTACCACCCAATACCATATGGTATAGAGTCATAATATCAATATATATTATCTAAAAGGAAAAAAACAGAAGGAGGGAGAGAAAAAATCGTCTTCTGATGCCTCTCATTTTCTCTTCCTCAATCAAGAACACCAAAATGCCAAAAAAATGAGAAAAATCAGAATTGAGGCCAACGAGTTGATGAAGAGAAGAAATGTAATGAAAGAGAGTGGCTACAATTTTTAATCGTCCATTGCTAGAGAAAAAAAATGAAGAAGGAAGAGAGTAGATCTAGATTTGAAAAGGAGATTGTGAGAGAAAAAGTAAGAGAGAAGGAATAGAGAAAGAGAAAGGATATGGAAAGAGATTGAAAAAAGGAAGAGAGAAGGAAGAAAGTTGAGTTGTAGATAAAAGACAATTCTCTCTCTTTCATTGAAAAGTCAGCCTTTGAAATTCTGAATAAAAAAAAATTAAAATACAAAAACGGACAAAAATGCCCCTCCCCACCCCGCATCCGGCCCAGCCACACAATTGCTCCATCCCCAGATCTATGGCTCCCGTGTGGTTACTGATAGGTCAGTAACCAGTGGTTACTGACCCTATTTTGAACCGTAGGACCCTATTTTTTTTCGGAATAATAAATCAACAGGGCGTCGTCGCCCTTCCCAAGCTCGAGTTCTCTGCGTAGGGTTCGTTCTTGATGTCATTATCATAACTATTCTTTGAATCAATAGAATAGTGAAGATCATTCGTCTGGTATTCTGTGAAATCAACGGATTTGCGATTTTCTCCACGTACACGCTGCATCACCAACTAACCCATAACCCGACAAACCCGAAACCTGACTAACTCATAACCCAATTGAACCCAATCCAAACCCGCCGATTGACCCCAGCGAAAGTGACATATCTAATCTATCTAAACCATTATTATATGGAGGTTCTCCTCCATTAACCCATTAATTTCCGTTTCCCTAGCTCCTGCGCAGAGAACGGAGGGCCATTTAAGTAATAACAGTAATTTAATTCACATGGACAGTAAGGGGAGCACGAAGATGGGCTTTAATTTATGAGCCCATAATTCCATGTGATACTGATACACAAAGAGGACGAATTTTCCAGTTTCAGGAATGATGCGAGAATTTCATTTAGTAGTTTAATTAAATAATATATCATGTTTTTAATTTCACGAACCAATGTATTAAAGCATACGTGATCCAAATTCACATGTCGAGAAACTGTTTGAAAATTGGATATTGATATATTGAATTATTGATCAAATAGAATTCTAAAATATTACCAACTAAGAGAAATAGATTGTTGAGTACGTCGAGCCTTTCCGGATGAGGCTTGACTAAATTTTCTAGGTGATCGATTTTATGAGCATTTATATACTAATACTACGTACCATTATTACAACAACTGGGCAAACAAACAAAGGGAGAACAAAAAGAAAGAAAGATCACTCCTCACTCACTGAAGGTTTAGACTAAATATTTTTTTGAAGGTTACTCTTCTGTAGTTCTATGCCTCGAAGAAATACTTCACGTGGAGAGTTATCCAAACAATCAAATAATGCTTCAATTCGTTTGTTAAAAATTGAATGCGATTTTAAATATTTTTATTAGCATAATTATGTACTTCTTACAATTTCATGTGTGTCCATGTCATTCGTTATTTAGGGGAAAATGTTAGTTATTTTTATACCACTAGAAGGTGGGTGGATTCTAGTTAGTCTTTATTTAAAGTGCAGAATAAATTTTCTTATGGTATGAATATCGATGAATTATCAATTGAAAAAGTTACGGATTCACATATACTTCAATGATTAATCGATATAGAACCGTTGGCTAACCGTTGATAGAACCGTTCGTGCGCTATAATATAAAGAAATATATAATATACTAATTTAGAAGTGAATTTATCACTACTCATAAAAGATTACAAATTCATATAATTTATCACCAAAAAGTTCTAACAAAGTATTCAAACTATTTAACAAAAGAAAATTGTACTTTTTTATTTAACAATAGTAAGAGTGACTATCCGTAGTGAATATATAATCATGTTAAGAAAGCTGGAAAAAAATGAAGCATAAATAGAATTAATGACTGAGGTTGGATGGTTATAATTTATGTTAACTTACTTTGCTCTTTAATTTTGTGTGGTTAAAATAGTGAACCACTGAGCAGTTAAACCGGGGTGGTTCATATGGTTTTATGTCAAACCGTTAAAAATCGTTCAGTCCATCTCTAATTGTCTAATCAAATGAACCGAACCGCTATTGTAACCGGTTTAGTGATTCTACTGGAACATAAGCAATTGAAAGCAATTACTTTGCATCACTACCAGCATAGCTGTAAGTATACAGGTAATTACTTTCTCCAATCCGTCCAGTTATTTCACATCTTCGTTAATTATGACCTTGCAAATTATTGCATTTATTTTCTCTTCCAAGTTCCAACACAGCTTCCACTAGCGCTCCAATTTCACTTTCACTCCCAGGTTCTTAACCATACTTTACTTAACTTATTCTTTTCCCTACTCGCTACTCGACAGTAATTACCTCAATACAAACATGTTATTATGTATTTACCGTTCACATTACATATACCAATTCACATATGTTTATGGATGTGGAGGGAATAAATTGTATTTCATCCCGACAATTATTCAATCTAGCATTCAATATATTCTTTGCAAGTTTATTATGATAATAATATATTCATAGTTATGTATGCTAATGTCATTATCTCTGTTATTTAAACTACGCATTCTCTACATTAAGATTGTGCTCATTACATTTTTGTTAGTTAGACTGATATATATTGTGAAAAATAAAAAATAGGTTACTAATGTTTTTATTGAAGGTTAGCCAATATGCAATCTGGATTCTTCAATGTCATATTTCGAGGAAGTGGCTGACACTCAACCCTAAGACAGATGTTATTCTTCGTCTAGATATGATAGTCATCGACTCAAAGGTAAACAATCAAAAACAAAAATTATCTATGTGATCCAATGCGTTGACAATTATTGATACGCCTATTTTTTAAACCAGGGCAATGCTATTTTGGGGCAAATTCCCAAAGGGCAAATCATTACCTTCCAGCCCCTGTTTCAGGATCAAAGAGTTTACACTATCAAGAACTCTAAGGTCAGTATGACGATGGGAGATTACAACCGAATACCGAACAAATTGGTCATCAAGTTTCAATCAAATACCCAGGCCGAAGCAAGCGACAATATTCCAGAGATACCAATTTACAAATTTTACTTCATCGAAGAAGATCAGATCGAGAGGAAGTACAACCAAATGAAATTTCTTTCACGTAGTAAGCACTATTCTAAACTAAAAAAAATATTATGCTGCCTGGACAACCAAAAACTTAATTTCGTCAATTATTTGTTACACAGATTTCGTTGGACAACTTATTCAGTATTCGGATTTACTAATATCTACTACACTCACTAGAAGGTTACACGCAGAAGCTCCAACTAAAACTTCTCAAGTATGTAACTCTTTTTATTCTTAATTAGTTAATTTAAAATATCATAATTTTACTAACTATAGTCAAATATACAATTTGAATATAGGGTATTAGTCGTCAAGGTCATTCTCTTTGGTAGGATAGTCGCCCAACTAAATTCAATCCTCGAACATTCAGGCAACCAACCACTCATCCTGGTTATTATTATTTTCTTATTATGCATCCTTCCATATAACGGTAAGGCGACATCTTGATTAACTTATTTTCATTCATCAAACAATGACACTAACTAACCGACATTTAATCAAACAACTACTAAATTTGCAGGTAAAATTAATTTCACCACTTCAGGAGCGACCTTACTACTCGCGAATCGAAGAATTCCAGAAGTAATTAATTTTGGACCAAGGTGAAATTCTTTAACATTTACTCACCATATTTTCCTACGTGTTATGAGTTTGATGTTCAACAAACCAAAACGAGAGTAAATATAATTCCTTTTTGGTGATAACAGTAATGACGATGGACCAAATCCACCGGTGAAAAGCGTGTAAGCACCTCAAAGGCAGGATGAGGATGACATGGACAATGAGTAAAGATTAGTGTTATGCAAAACAATTATAGAATTCGATTCCCTGATAAAAGGGTCAGTCATTGTTTTTCATAATTAATTATGTTGGATGAGTCGGTTAGGATATCCCAGAATACTATGATGTTCGCAAATGAACCCGACATTACTACTTATTTATGCGATTCCAAAAAAAACCGGCCAACCGGCCGGGCTGTGACTAGTAACAATCAGTGGCGGAGCTAGGATTTCAAACTACCCCTGTCCTTTATTCAGAATATATATAATATTTTATAAATAATCAATGAGTTTTCATATTATGAAAAAAATGTAAAATATATTCATTATTTACACCATTATATCGTGATAATACCTAACGAGTTGTTGTAAAATGATAGTGTCATGTAATTTAATTATTTTTTTGTGAATTAATGAACAAGTAATGAGTTATGTTGTAATGTTAAAATATCCTTATGTTACTTGTAAGTGATTAATTCGATCTGTACAAATATATGTGGGTTTATTTTTTTCCCTCCCAAAAATTGCCCTTGTCCCGGGACAGGGGCAAACACCCCTGCCTCCGCCTATGGTAACAATGGTTATGAAACTGTTGCTTTTAAGCATCAAAGTTGACTCACACTTGATAAATCTGGTCATTCTATTTAGCCGTCCGCCTCCTTCGGCGTCCCTAAATATCATCCTAATTAGACGGGCACTTCCAAATACAATGACTGACTGGCCTCAGCACCCAAAATCGTGAGTGACATACGACTTTTTGCCCGATCTGACTAACACATCAGTTTGCAAAAAATTAAACACGAAATCATGCTGCTGCTGGAGTTCACTATGTAAATGCTTCCCGCTGTTGTATTGGCAGTTCTAGATCACGTTCTCCATCTAACAAAGAAAAATACTGATCCACCATGCCTTCTGTCACCAGCCCTAACCTCGGAGGATTCCACTGCACAAACACAAGAGTTACTCACGCCATATGATTTCATTTCATGCTACCAAAACGCAAATCCCAACTCAGAGTGAAAGAAAGCTCGCACCTTTGGTGCCAAGTCTTTATCAACAAGCCGTGCACGGACACCCTGATGCAGGAAAATTAATACGATGCAAGACTATTTAGAACTCGATTTGTCCAATTTCCACAGGAAATCTAGAAACAAACACGTACCTCACGCAAGTCCTGCTGGGCCATACCCTGTAGAGACATTCTATATTCACGGACTAAGCACTGATCAAGCGTTTGAAGTCTACCGTCCCTTATCTGAAACAGTAGATATGGGGGCTGAGATCATGCTAGTAATATGTTAATAAGTCGAGGTTCTAACATTACTAGCTGCTATTAGGACTCACTGATCTCAAGGAAACCTTCAAACTCAGTGGGGAGCATTCATTTAGCCTTCTGAGAGTAGAGTTGCACCATGGATCATTTGTCTTCGAAGCCTCAGTTTCCTGACAGTGATTCAATACGTAGAATAGAGAAAATATTCATCGATTAAGCAATTTTTTTAAATTATGATAAAGAATGAAGCGATTAGACATGTCATTCTACCAAAGCGTCTATGATTTCTTCAACTGTGTCATGACTGAAACATTTGTCAACAGCTTCAATCCTGAAGAAAAACAAAAAGAAGAGCCAAAATGAAAATTGATAAATTCTTTCCTGTTTTACATAATTTATGGGGAAATTATTTGCAATCCATGCCATGTTTGAACTGAAAAAGAGTTCTGTGGATCACTACCAATTACAATGAACAAACCTGTGAATTACACTTGTGCTATCTGGATGGACGAGGTCACCATACTCTTCTAATGAAGTTTCAATGACAGAAGGATCATCAGTGATCAGATTCCCCAACCGCTCCTCAACTGACCGAAACTTCTGATAGATTAAGATAAAACAGTTATTTAAGCAAGAAGAAGAGAAAGCAATGTGAAAGAAGAGAACATGTTAACAAAAATTAACTGTACTGTGAGTGTAGTGTGTAGCCAAGCCACAACCGATCATTTCAACTCCATTTAGTGTCTCCCCAGTAAGAGCCAGATATTCCCCTGCAAGCAGGAACGTATTTATGCCTTTTGAAGATGGAAATGAATGGTTCTTCTGTGTCTAAGGTGACTAGAAGGACCAGAAAACGAATCAGAGAACTGATGCAAACTATAAACTACCTAAATGACCAGGTAAATGTGAAAGGTAGAAGGATGCACCAGCATCAGGGTGGAAACCAAGAAGGGTTTCAGGAGTAGCAAAAATCTGCAGATCAGCACGGCATATCTGGTTATTTTCTCCTTTGTTATTGACAAAGTACACAGACCATGATGCACCAGATCACCATGAGATCACTTGGAAAGGAAAAGCTTCAATGACTCAAAAGAGCATTGGAAATTAAAAAATCATAAGGTACTACTATTTGCATACAGTTCTTTCAGTTGCCAAACGAAATGTGCTAGGAATTGAAACTCCAGCACCACCACCCATGGTAACGCCATTCAGAAGGGCTACCTATAAGAAGTATCTTCAGAGCATCACCATCATTATAAAGATTCTATCCCAAAGTAGCCCAACCTAAATCAACGAAGTTTTCAAAAGATATACTCACCTGTGGCTTCAAATATGTACCTAGAAGGTAAATGAACTGGTATAATGTGGCGAAAAAGTCTTTACAAGCCTCCCGCTTCCCTGGGACATGAGGGTTAGGAATTTCAAGGGGAAGCAAGTATGCTGATAAAAACACCAACAAGCTTTCGTGTATGTCGATACCGAATCTGAAAGGCAATACGGCAAGTCTTATTGTTTACCCTGATTCAGAAGATGATAAACAGCAACCATATCCCCACCAGCACAAAATGCCCTGCCACTGCCCTTCAGTGTACATATAACACCATAGCCAAGAGCAAAACGCTTCTCAATCAGCCTTCCATGTCTTCAAAATGGCGCTGGGAGCAAATAAAACTTGGGAGAGAAGTGGTTACCTTCATCGCCACAAATCCAATATCCGGATCATCTTCCCAGGACGTGTACAAATTGTTCAATCTAGATCCCTAACCAAAATCCCCAAGATTCATTTCCCCTCATTAACCAATTCGGAGCGGAAGTGTTTTAGCAAACAACATAACGGGAGGGAACGAGAAAACACAGAAGAGAATCGAAAGAGTCACCATGTTCAAGTTGAGGGCATTGAGAACCGAAGGCCGGTTGAGAATGGCGGTCCTGAATTGCGCTTTGCCTTCCACCAGCACCTGTTGAGTAAATCACCCTCACCAAATAACAGTTAGTCGGTCGACGGAAAAATATGAATTCAAACGAAGTCAGAGAAGCTAGGGACAAGTTCTCGAAACCTGGCTTTGAAGATCATCGTCGTCGATAGGTTTACTGATACTACTCGCGAGAGAGCAGATGCCTCTGTAACTATCACGGTAGCGAGCATGGGCGAAGCTACGACCCTCCGCCTCGCCGAGCCTGGCCAGCAAGCCAGCCGCCACCTTCAAGCCTTTCATTGGTGCGGAGGAGCGGCCTGATTTAGTGATTTTGGACCGCACGATAGACCGAGTAGGCACCCCTCGATGAGCCTTTCTCTATCAATTTGACTGCTTATAGAGTGGCACGCAAAAGCCTTTCTCTATCTATTTTAAAGTTGAAATCATTTGATTTTCCTTTGGCTAATATTATATTTGGGCTGGTTGGGTTCTTGTAGGGGTGGGGTGTTTCTTTGCATTGTTGTTTCTTTTTTCATTTCTCTCGATTTAAAAAAAAAAGTTGCCAAATCGGTTTATATCGTTGTACTTGTTTAGCAAAGTGATATGATTTTACTGATAGTACAATCGGTTTGTATCAGTCCATTCTAGTTTAATAAAATATGAAAAACGATTAACAACGAATGAAGTTAAGCATATATATAAATCATATTTAAAGACAATTCACTTACAATTTATATTCATACTTGTTTATGCCTGGTATGTACCGGGCGGTTTTGTGAGGCTTCACTGGCTTCACGCAGTCTCGGGTGGATGAGAGGCGGCCCGCGTAATCCTGCAAGCAAAGGTCCACAGGGGGTGCCCTGGGACCTCCTCCGATGCCTAAGTTAGAGAGAGAAGTGGATAGAGTAAATAAGAGAGAGAACGGAGTAGATAGAAGTTACCCTAAATGTGTTCCATGAGTGGGTATTTATACTAGTGGATGTCGGAGTGAGGATAATTAATGCTCTGTCGGGCGTCCAAGGTCGCATAAGGACCTGTTCTTAGGAGGCTGTCAGGATCGTACCTTTGTCAGCCTTCGTACTGAGGTGTCAGGCGAACGTTATTCCCAAATGTCGGGCGGTTACCTAGGAATCCGATCAGACGATGTCGGGCGGTTCTTCCTGGTCAGAGGCGCGGAAGACCGCCTTTGGACCACTGTCCGATGTATTTCGGGCCCATTTGGGTTGGGCTTGTTCGCCTTTTGGGCCTCTTGGTGTTTATGGGCTTGGCGGCCCATGTGTCTTAATGATTGGCCCAACATTTGCCCCTTAGGCGTGAGAGGCTTTGGGCTTTCGCGGCTAAACGATCATCTTGTCATCATTAAGCAGTCATATGGACGCCATACCCATGACAACCCGCCTGCCCCTGGACGCGAGGGCACGAAGCGGGAACGTCTGAGGGGCCACTAAGGACGCCCTCGGCTTGTGATTTTGGCGAATTGCTGCCACGTGTCAAACCTCGATCGTGGCGCCCTGACATGACTAGGCGAAAATGTCACTTCGGGTGGTTGGAGACCCGAAGTTTGCTTTAAGTAGCTCTAGGGGGAGAACTTTTCCGCCATTTTAGCTTCTTCTTTGATGAATAGTTCGTCTTCTCCCCCCCCCCCCCTGCCTTGGAGGAACGCCGACCTTCTTCGCCGACGTTTGTCTATATATTCCGAGCGCTGCGCCAGGTAAGATTTTGCCCCTTTCCTTCGCTTTTGTGCGGTTGCCTCTGTTCTTACTTTTCGTTCTCTTGTTCGCTTCGCGATTGGGCTCGTCGCTTTGACCTGGTGCTGGTTGCGCGAACTCATCCGGCGCAACGGTGACGTCGGCTTCTTGCTCGCTAGCCGATGTCGAGCGAGGAGAGGACGCCTTCCCTTGTTGTGGGAAATGATGAGGTGGCTGTCACGACTGATGCCGTCGATCCCGGCCGCGTTCCCACCGCTGTTCTTGAGTCGAATCCGGTGGTCGCTGCCGCGCTGCCTCAGCCGCCTGTCGTCGCGAAGAGGGTTGCGGGATCCTCTGTTGGGACCGCCTCTGCTGTGCAAGGTATGACCTGCTTTTCTTCCACTAGAACCGCCTCTGAGTGCGTGTGGGATTTATCCGAGCTAGAATTGTACGTTGTGAGTGGTTCTGAATTGCGCGATTGCTTCGTCAGTCTCTCTTTAGACTTAGATGATTCTTTTGCTAACATCCGCCCTGTACCAGCTGGGGGTATGGCTACTTCGTCTGCGGTTGGGGATAACATGGGTGGTGTTGGGCGGGTAGATTTAGGTAGTATATCTTTGGATGAGGATGAAGCGGTTGATAGTGAGGGTGTGCGATCTGAGGCGCATCATAGTACATCGTCTTCTTTGGAGACATTGGACGCGAGAGATGGGGAACCGCTCATTCGTGTCATTGCGGATCCCGTTTATACGGTCTTGCGGCATGAAGGGATGTGGGAGGATCAGGCGGTTCCTTCTGGTGTACTGGAATTGGGACCGGCGTACACTGCGGGTTTTAAGCCTGAGCAGGTCCTCTTCCGTCTGAAGTCGCTGACCCTCCCCTCAGATTGGGTTTATGCGACCCCTTCGGAGGCCGGTCGCTCTGGGTCTTGCCCAACCGGATGGCTTCCTATCCATGTGGAGCAGATCAAGTTGGGGTTGTGGTTTCCGTTAGACCTCATCCTTACTAAGGTGCTGCTCTGGCTTGGGTGCACCTTGGGACGCCTGTCCCCGACAATAATCTTTCACTCGGTGATGTACTGTTGGGCTTGTGACCGCCTCAACGAGGAACCTTCCTTTGATGCTTTTCGCCTGTTGTATAAGATTCAGGATGCGACAAATTGTTGGTCGATCAGGAGGCGGGATGGCGCTGTAGGCCTCGTTATTGGGGCGCCAAAGTTGGATTCTCCTTGGTTCAAGGAGTACTTCTTCGCGCGTCCTTCCTGGAAGTGGTACTCGGGCGATGAGGAACCGCCGACGGTTTATGCGGTCGGCTCTAAGGAGGCGTGGTGTTCCTCTAGTCCGTTTCCACAGTCAGTGAAAGACCACGTAGGCCGCTTGGTAGAGGGATTCCAGCTGCGGGTGACGCGTAGCGGTCTTGAGAGCGCTTACCAGCATGTTCGCGGTTTCTATGGTTAGTAAAATCGTGTCGTATTGTTCTTTTCGCGTCTTCTCATGTACGTTACTTATTCTTTTTCGTTTCAGGTCTGAAAGATTTGGCTAATGCGAACCGGCCAAAAGGGAAGAAGCGGGGAACCGCTGTTGCAAAGACTGGTGCGGCCTCCTCTTCGGCGGTAGCGGGGAAAACTGCTTCCGTGACCGCAGCAACGGTGGCCGCCTCTGCTGCCGCGTCCGTTGCTCCTGCGATGGTGACCCGTGGTGCGGGGAAGAGACCGCCGGGGACGAGTAGCCCCCACGGGGCTTTTAAGCGTCCTAAAGCGGGGTTAACTCAGGGGAGAACTGGAGTGGCGCGGGGCAAAACCGCTCGTCAAACTGACCAGCCCAACCCCATAAGTTTGCCCCCTCTCGCGGCGACCGACACTGAGGCGGCTGAGCTAGCGTTCCATACTGTGAGCGATCAGCTTGATATGCCATCGGAGTATACTGCGACCTCATAGGGGTGCAACCGAAGACTCGCTGGGATTGCTTCTCAGTTCTTTTTCTCGGTGAGTTTTTGTATTTCGATAATTGGAACTTGTCGTGAGATATGATTGACGTGGTCATGTTTTCCCTTTGCAGGCTCAGATTGGATTTTCGCAGATCATTATGCTGAATGAGCGCCTATCCAAGACCGTGGATGAGAATATGGTTGAAATAGCCAAGTTGAAGAAGAATCTGGTTGAAGGGCGGTCGGCGCTGATAAGAGAGCTGCGACCCGATTTCGAGCGCGGTTTCGAGGAGCGGTTGTCCAAGCAAAGGGAAGAACTGTCTGCGGAGAAAGAGGCTCGGGTGGCGGTCGAGCGGGAGCGGGACAATATGCAAAAGAAGCTTCAGCAAGCAGAAGAGATCGGGAGGACGTTATTGGAGGAACAGGAGTCGCTTCAGAAGGGGATAGACGCCCTCAAGCTGGAGAAGGCCACCCTTCAGGAGGGTCGCGAGGCGGAGTTGGCCGCTGCTCGGGCTGAGGCGGGTTCGGCCTACCTGCAGTCCGCGGAGTTCCAGGCCCTTGATGGGGAGAAGTACAAAAAGATAGTGGGAGATGTTGTGGCTGCGATCCCTCATTTGTTCCGCAGCGACCAACCGGATGCAGTTTGGGACACTGTCAAGGTTTGGGACGCGATTGGGGCTTGGATGGATGCTGATGTGAACTCCGAGGCGGACGATGAAGGTGATGAAGAAGCCGGCGATGAGGGGGATCAGAATAGTGAGCGGTCTCCAGATGTCTGATGCTTTGTTTCATTCGAACCGCCAGGCGGTTGATGTTTTGTATTTGTGACTTGTGAATTTCCGGACCGCTCGATGTTCGTTATTTGTGCGTGTTTTGCGCCCTACACAGTGATGGGGGTTTATGCTACCCTAAGTGCGGCATTGCTATGCCTTGTGAACTCGTAGTGTTTTCTTTGTAGCTTCGAGGTTTTGAACCGCTACTGCTTTGAGATCGCTGGGTATCCCTGACTTTCGCATGTTTGGCTCACAGACTCAGTGATCGTGGTGCCTAATAGCTTACCTTATTGTGAGTGTGGTTTCACCAATGCTAGCGGTGAGAGTTTTTGGTATGGGGCGGGTTACACCGCTGGGGTTTGCTCCCTTAAGTTTTGCTTTTATTGGAGCAAGTATCGGCACCTCTGAGGGTTGTGCGCTGCTGGGGCGACCCGTTGGCAGCGTTGGATGTGATTTCCTTGTTAGTGGGTGCGTTCAGAGGGTGTTATGTGGTAATTCGTTCCGTCGTGGTCTGTTGCCGGGTGTTAGCGAAAACATGAAACATGTGAATGAAGGAAACGTGCTTGGGATTAAGCGTTCTTGCGAACTTGTTGCATGAGAGGGAACCTCTATTGGCCGAGAGAAAATACTAGTGTATTACTTTTGAGCAAAAGCGGTCTCCTGGTGACGACCGTCACACCGCTACAAGTGGAAGGAGAGATCCTTAACCACTAAAATAACTTTGAGCAAAAGTGGTCGCTCAATAGCAACCATGTCACGGTTACAAGTGGTGGTAGATTTCCGAACCACCAAAATATCGTTTTATAAGGATAAAACGTCCTAGACCGTATCTGAGTAAGATTTCCTCAGGTGCATTCCGTTCCAAGTCTCGGAGACTGGGGCTCCTTCCATAGTTGCAAGCCTGAAGGTGTTGGGACCGGTTTTTTCTCCAATGAGGAATGGGCCTTCCCATGTGGCGGTGAGTTTTCCGTGCTCATCCTTTTTCTGGAAGTCGCGCTTGAGCACCATG